TAAGAAACTTGTTTAAAATTTAAAAATATATTTATATTATTCAAACTCAAACTAGTTTGCAAACTTCAAACTCAAACTTAAATTTAACTAAAAAGTTTGCTTCAAATCAAACTCAAATAATTTTTTTAAATACTAGTTTGAGATTGGGTTTGATTTGAAATCAAATCAAACCCAAACTTGGCCTAAAGTTTGATTTGATTTGGATTTGTAGGAACCCTAAGTATAACAGTCTTCTTGTATTTTTGAAACTTTATCACGTAATTTCTATTTAGAAGTGCTTTTGTTTAGAGAAAAGAATTAATTTAAAATAAGAAAAGTATTAAGCCCTATCTTCTTTGTCATCACTAGCATTATTGAATTTAAAATATCAGGATTTGAATTGTAATAGCTTATTGCTTTATTATCAATATCTGTTGTTATCATCTTTTGATTATCTTAATTTATAGTTGTTCTTAAGACAGATTCATTTTAAGTTTTATATTGATTTAAACTATTTTTATAAATATTATTATCAATCATCCATTAATTTCATAGATTTATTGTTTAAATATTAAAATTTCTAAATATCATCTTTTAGATTATATTAAGTTTAGCTTCATTACAAAGATTAATTAATTTTATAACAAATTATATTTTCTTTTGTTTATAAAAACCCCAATTTTTGTACTTGGTTGGAGTTCAAATTGACACTATTTGTCTACAATTGAATTCACTTTCCCAAACAACTATTACAATATACTGCCAATTGAAAATTAGCGAGTTGATTACTTGACAATTTGGGACATCATGTAATCTATTATTGGCTTAATTGATAATAGGCATTTAGATTTGGCAAGGGTAATTTTAAGGTTTTAGGTATATTTTCTACTTATGTTGAAACCTTGATATTAAACTAATACTTATACTATTAATCTAATACTTTTAATCAAAACCATAGCTGAGATCTTCTACTTGATCTCAAATCAGAACAACACAAAAACACAACAATCCTTGGTATGTTGGAAGAACTGGACAACAAAAACCACAGTTCAACTGGAATATAACAACTACAGAAGTTCTCAGTATATCGAGAATTAACCAGACAAAGCTTCAGTACACTTTATAATTTCACATAAATATAAAACAATGATCATACTACTATTATGCCACTTAAATAGTAAATCAGAGTGTAAGTATTTATTTATCAGGTATAAAGAATAGTGCTACAAATCAAAAATAACAACTAATTGAAAAGTTGACAACTAATCATTTTTGGCAACACCTATTAAAATCGAATAAAAATCAAACAAAAATTAAACAAAAATCAAATAAAAATCAAATAATCAAAAAGTTGACAACTAATCAATTGCAAAATTTTTGATGATTTGTAACACTAGTAAAGGGTATAGGATTATTAAGAGATAAATTTTATATGAATTACAAAGTATTGATTTACTCTAGAGTAAAAGTCTTTATTATATACTTTCTTATATTATACATCTTACTTGTATTATACTAAGTATACAAATTATAATAATTATACTAATTATACTACTAATATTACCAATTCTCTTCATCTCACTAATATCCATTATAGACCCAATGCAAAGTATACAGTGAATACAGTGTATACAGCTGAAAAGCCTATTTTAAACATAATTTTATTTCAAAGCTGTGCACATTGAAGGTCACACATGTTTACAGGCTTATAATACAAATATCTATTTATTTAAAAATAGGTAAACCATGTGATGAGATGACCTCAGGAAAATTTTTATACCTATATCACCTTCAGCTAAATATTTGAATCATTTTACTATTTTCTAGAAGAACTTGAAGATAATTTTAAGCAAAAACTTCTTAATGTTGGAAAGGTTAGTTATTATTGGTTATTATTTAGTTTAGAAAAACACTAAAATATGCACATTTTGATAGACAAAATGCCTTGCAGCAGTGATGGGTTTGGGACAGTTGGGATCTATATTGGGACATTTTGAAACATTTTGGAACAATTTTATAAATTAAAATTACTCAAAATTTTATTAAAATAATCTACTTTAAATTTTTTAAAAATATATAATTGTATATTTTTTAAATTAATTTATTAATAATTATTAAAACTTGGAACTTAGTTGGGACATTTTGGGACACTGGGACATTGGGACATTGGGACACGGCAAAAAAGCTTGGGACACTGTTCGAACCCATTACTGCCTTGCAGTGATTGGCTATTTATTCGTGATTTTATTGGATAACTATAGATTATGTCAAACGTAATCAAAGCATGTAAAAACTACATAAAAATATTATAATTATTTGAGTAGTAGAATTTGAAAAAGGAAATTTCAACAATTAAAATGATTAGTAATCATTGTTGAAATTTCCTACCGGTCTTGGTCTCTAATGAGACTGATCTATTGTAGCACAGCTAGAAATTTTTTCAATAAACAAATCGAATCTTAATCAATAAGTTGCATGTCTATGTTGTTAATATCAAATATTCTGACAAAATTAGCCAAAATTTTGACTAAGTGATATATTTATGATCATCACATCACATGATTAGTTAGTTTGTTTAATCAAAACCTATTGCACTGCATTTGTGCATATAAGCAATCTGAATTTTAAACATTGGTCTTTCCATGTCATGTAGTACTTACAGTAGGTACTATATCAATTACACGATTTGTCACATCTAAAATTTTATCATATGATTTTCACAAATTACACAAATCGACGAATTTATATTTTTTAGATTTCCCCACTAAAACCTTTATCAAAACACAGTTTTGCTTAAAACAATATTGTTGCTGAAGTTTGTACGAATCCAATGGTATGAAGAATATAAAAAACAAACTTCTCGTTACAACAATATGTACTTTTGAAGACCGGTGATTTTCTTATCTACTTTTGCATGATTCTTTTCAAGCTCATGAACTCTTAGCATAAAAAGTGATTCACTAGATGCAACAAAGTAAGAGCTTTCTTCAAAATGCATCTGTGAAGGGCTAGTACATTATAAACTTACTGAAGAAAATTAAGAAAACTGTTTTGTGGTAAGTAGATCACTTATTAATTCAACGCTTTTACTTTATTTCACTGCAAAGTTTTTTTTAAAAAGTTTTGATATTTAATAGTAATACTATATTAAAGCAATCAAGTTTGTTGATACTTACTATCATGCTATTTTTTATTTAGATTCATCTATTTATATTACCGTAATTTATTGAGATAAGTTCAGAAGTTATTTAATTTATTTTATTGGTACTTGGCTTAATTTAGTTAGCATATGAAATTATTTATTAATCAATATATTTAAACTAAATTTGTAGATGTCTATGTATCATTATACAATATTTTTATTTAGAATGGTTTCATGTAGTTTTTTAATATGGATTGTTGGGTAATCAGAACCGTTACAATTAATTGAGATATTTATTGAGGGTTGTGTTTTTGTTCACATAAGTTAATTAAGAGAACGCACAATAATCGATGTATTTAAGTTATTTGAATCAAAATTTTTATTTTAAATAAATAAATAAATTTTTTTAATTCGAAAAATTACATCTACTGGTATATAGTAATAACAGA